CTGACCGTGCTGGTGCTGATCTAGGTATTGAGTGTGGCAGAACCCTACCCAGGGTATGTATGTGCAGACGTGTCCTATACATATGCATACACACCAAAAAAGGGAGGGAGGGAAGAAGGAAGGAAGAAGGAAACAAGAAAGGCTGGGAAGGAAGAGGTTTATTTGGCTCCTAGTTTGGAGTTTCAGAGGCATGGTGCTGGCAATGGCCCAGGCTGGAGGCAGTGTTGTTGCTGGCGGATGTGAGACAGTACATGACCTCACACAGCAAAAACTAACTATGCACATCCGGTCTGTTTTCCTTTTCTGAATAAGACCTCGGGGTTCATTTGTGGGGACTCTACTCTGTTTCAATGTAGTCACGTTCCCAAGGACCAGCCTGGCCTGGACCTGCCCAGGCATGTTGTTCATATCCACATAGTACTATCACATGAAGGGTGACAGGGCTTGAATACCCTACATATTTAGGAAGTAAATCAAGATCAAACAGCAGCGCATGTCATTCTCTGAGGCTGACACTTCAGCAGCCATCTTGGCTGTGGCTCTCCACAGACAGCTACCACATGTTGTAGGTCCCCTGCAAAGCATGTATGACCTCACCACCTGCAGTTTACTCCACTTCAGATGACAACACTAGGGCTGAGCAGGGTGCCTTGCCTGAAAGCATGCTGCTGGTACCCTGAAGAGAAAACCTACTCCATCCAGGCCTCTGCCTGCAGCTCCAGGCCTCCTATGGAAAGGTCTTCCTCACGGTCCATGTGACTCCTGGCTTCCTTTCCTGCTGAGCACTGGCTGTACCTTTCATGACACTACCCAGACAAGCCAGAAATGACTGATGGTGTCCTTTGTGAAACTGTCCTTGTACTTGGAGGCTGCCAGTCAAGTGTGCCTTCCATCATGCCAGAGCTGTGTCCTACATAGTCATTACAGTCCCCGCAGCAACCTCCACACCCCCACCCCATTCCTTATAGAGCAGTATTTCCCCTTCTTCAGGAGGCCCTGCCTCCTTTTCTGTTACTTTGTCTTCCTGTCTCAGAGTTTCCTGGCAGGAAGAATTCAGAAAAATAACAGGTTGATACTTTATCCTGGTTTACTATTAGACTGTTACTATTAGAGTGTTATCTTTCTGTTGTTCTACTTTTGGTAATGAAAACTATAAAGACTTATACTTAAAATATTTTAATTTTGTTACAGCTAAATTTTAACAAGAAATAATGTATATATAATATTGTGCTATAGAAAGTAAATTGGTAACATATTATGGATAGCTATCCTTATATATTCCTTCTCTCTTCCTCTAAATATGTGTGTGTGTGTATGTGTGTGCATGTAGTGTTGTGTAATATTTGTGTGTATGTGGTATTTGTGTGTGTGGGGTTGTATATGTGTTGTGTATGTTTGCATGCGTGTGTTGTGTGTGTGTGTGTGATATGTGTGCACATACATGCATACTTGAAATTAGCTCAGAGCTGATTATTCATTGGTATTTTAGGGAAGCTTGTTTTATAAAATGTTAGTAGGGAGAGGGCTATTAAGGAATAGCCAGGAAACCACTTGGAGAAGAAAGGGAAGAACTGTGAATATAAAGGGATATACTATTCTATCACTGTATACATATATAAACATGTCACTGTGATCTGGCATTTTGAGCAATTAATGTGGATTTATTGAAAAAGTAAAAAAAAATTAGGACACATCTGTCAATGCTTAAGGAGTGCAGTATTGACAGGGAGCTACTCTGGAAAACGTGTTAAGAGAAAGTGACTCAGAACCAGATAGAGTGATGTGCCTCAGAGTGCCGTATCACCAATCACTAAATAAAGAAGCTATTTATTTGGATCTTAAAATTGTTTTTGTCTGCCTAAGGGAAAGACACTTACTCTTCTGTGCAGAAGGTTCAGTGAGGCTGAGTGACGGCTCAGAAGGTGATAAACCATGGCTCCCAGACTAGAGTTAGCTGAAGTTGTCTAGGAAATCCATTGTTTGCAAGTGTTACAGACTGATTCCCTGCACACCAGTCTTGCTTTGAAGTTTTCTTTCCTTCCTAAAGCCAACTCGTGCCACAGGACAGTATCCTTGCTAGAACCACACCCCAACCAGGAGTCCTAAACTCCCCACAATGTAACAGCAGCAGGAACCTGAGAGATTTCTGGCAGTGTGGGGATTTAGAATCACCCTATTCTGTGTTAGTGGTGAGAAGTAATAGATCAGGTAGAAATATGTAATACTTTTGACATAAAATTCAAAGGGAATAGGATTCAGGATATGTGAAGAACATTTGCAGATCCATAAAGGAACAGTATAAGCAATTATCCAGCAGCAACGACAAAAACACCCAATAATTTCACTAACGTTCAACAACTACAAAGTAGAAAAAAATACAGATTGACACCATCAGAATTTGATAGTAAGTAGTGTTGATCCAGCTATGGGAAAATACATTCTCCCCTAGTCAGAGTGTGAAATAATTCAGGCACTTTAGAAGGTGTCTGTTTCAATGAGAAATGAGTGTGTCTTTGGCCTTGGTAAACCTTGGCTCCTCACTGAGACATGCACTACAGCTTTGCTGACGATCGTGAGAAATGGATGGCAGCTGAGGTCCTGGCCAAGCGGAAGTTACTAAGCAAACCACAAGGCACACAGGCAAACCATAGCCTCTTCCAGGGTCCTAAGGAATGAGCTGGAACTGGTCTATCCACAATACACTGAAAAACAATACCTCCTGCAACAGTCTCTGTGACAATAATGCATCACCACTCCGCTGACAAGGAGTTGCCTCGAGGGGAAAGAAAAGAGGAAAATGAAAGAGAAGGGAGGTTCTATATATAAATTCCTTTTGTGGTTTTACCTTTCAAACTCTGTTAGAAGTAGCCCACATGAGTAGTACTCTCCCGACCTGAATGAGCCCTGGCTGCGTATGGTGTACTCTGAAGCTTGCCGGTTCTCTTCCAGTTCACTGCATTCATTTCTCACGGTGCTGCTCATAACCTATTACACTGATGTCAGGACTCAAAGACAATTTGAAAGCTGCTGTTCGGAGTTACCTGTGCACGTGTGTAAAATGGATGGGCGTAGGGGATGGGAAGGCACTCAGCTAATGTCAGCAGTCATTTCTGATGAGTGGTCCTCAGAAGAGGTGGTCCCAGAGCCTTGAGCCTCATCTGTAATACACTTTTGTGTGCTTGATTTACAAGGGACTTTTACAACTAAATATTTGAAATTTTGTTTTAAGTGGAAGCAATCAAAGCTGTTTTTGAAAGTCCAGAGTTTTCTAGAACTGAGGAGTGCTGTCAGGTGGACTCAAAGGAAGGGTGTTTTTTGTTTGTTTTTTTTTTTTTAAGTGAAAGTGCATAGCTCTGTGTTAAACAACAGGCATTCTAGCTAATTCTTTGTTTTTGTGTTTAGGGCCACAGATGAGCACATGTTTGTGGAAAGGTACAGTCAAACCCGTGTGGTACCCACTCAAAATGCTGTCACAAACCTACAAGTGCTCATCCAAGCTGAGAGATTTTAGCTTGTTATCTACAAATGCTGTATCTGCAAATCCGAACAGACTAGCCAGCATGAAATGACACAACCCCAAGTCCTCCAGGGTTCACTTGCCAGCATGTCCTGTTTTTAGTAAGCTTGGGCAGAAGGTTGTCTTTCAGGAGGTCTTTGGTGAGGAGCACAGGGAGAGGTTGGGGCTTCTGTGGGGGGCAGCCAGCATCACTGCTCTGTTCATAGCTACAGTTAGTTAATTCTTGTGATTTACTCACTCATTTTTTTTGCCCTGAGGGTAATTTATTAAATCACAACTTAATGATCCAATAATTGATGCTTATGAGGAGTTTTCAAGAAAGACAGGCCCTTTACATCTAAACAAGAAATTGGCGTCAGATGGCACAGAGCTGGGTTATTTCTTGTGCTAATTTTCAAACACGTAAATAGAGATATTCATAAAGAGAATCTTCAGATTTCATTTTCCTCTTTGTTTTGTATCTTAAATGGATAATCTCATGTTTTTAAACAACTACATTAAATTCCCTTTAATGTTTTTGAGAACAAAGTATTAATGGCAAGACACACAACCTTCTTCTGAAAGCCCACGTATAAGAATCATCTTTAAAATCATAGTTATTGCTGAAGCAATTACTATAACTAATTTCTTAAATGTTTAATATGGTATGGAAGAAAGAAAAGGGGGTCTTGGAAACTTAATTTTAATGAGAGAAAACTGGTAAATGAGTATTATCACAGAAAACAAGGTACAGATGGGGGCAGAGGAAGAGGGGGCGCCATGCTATTGGTGTCTTCCATGTTCTCCGTTGCAATCTGTGGGTGAGGGAGAGAGGTGCAGCTAACACACAGAGGGAGGCCATTCCTATATCAGCTTTGGAGTTCTCAAGGATAGACGGCCGTGGTGAGGAGTATGCAGCTGGGGAAGCAGCGCTTGTGCAGATTGACAGCAGTAGCCTGAATCGGTGACGGTGCTGTGGTTTTATGGTGAGAATTCAGGGCAAGGTAACCTTGTCCCCTGAGACCCAGGAGGAAGTCAAAGTAGACTTTAAGGTTTACAATATTTAAGGATTTGAACAGTACTTAATTCTACTGTGAAGTTTTTGCCAATTTGATGTTTGTGTCTAGTAGTTTTGATAACATTAGCTTTAAAGTATGTTGTAGAAGGCATGATAAATTTATTATTTAAACACAAACAAACAAAAAGCCCTCCTCAGATTGCGTATCTGAGGCACAACTTCCTCCCAATGGCAGTGTCCTGTATTTGCAAACAAAATATCCTAGGGCATCTGGTCTTCCAAATACTATGCAAGGAATATTTTTGTTTCTTGGATGCTTGAGAAGTGGAGGGAAAGAAGAGCTTGTTTCATATTATAAAACACAGAAGTGTTACAGGTCTCATTGGTAAGATGAGATCCTGGTTGCTTTTTTCCCAGAATTTTCTTCCCTTTTCCATGAATATCACTTTTAAGTGAACTTGACTAACTGGAATTTACCGCCCACAGCATCTGCAGGCATTGCTGTATCCCAGCGGAAAGTACGGCAGATCAGTGACCCCATCCAGCAGATTCTCATCCAGCTGCACAAAGTCATCTATATCACACAGGTCAGTGTCCACAGTGCCTTTCACCTCAGCCACAAGGCCAGAGCCAACCCTGTGGAGAAAATATGGCCTTGTGGGACTTGGAGTTAGAGTGAACACTGAATTCTTTCCTCCTCTCCAACCACAGTATGTGTATGTGGGAACACTTTGGCCTAGCAGTAAATGTGTCCTGTTTTCTCAGTGGCCTGTACTCTCATTGTGCTTAAACAGACTTCCACCCAAGTGGCTCTTTAGTGTGTGGGTGCAAAGAGGGACAGGACTTGGTAGCTTTTTCTACAAGCAGCTTTATCATAGGAATGGGGAAATGGGACCTTTCTCCTTTCATCTGCTTTGACAACAGAACCTCTCAAGGATGTGAAAGCCAGACCCCTGACTCCCATAAAACTCAGGACCATTAAGACTTTGTGAATCTGAGTACTAAGTACTCAGTACTAAGAAGCTCAGGGCTGAAGATTAGCTATTGGTTGTGGACACACTTCTGTCCAGTGCTAGACAACCGGGTGTTCCTTCACCTAAGACATGGACCACTTACTGGTAATATCTTTTTTCTCTTTCTTCTCTTTATTTTTAAGAAAGGATGTGTAGATATTTGGATAAGGAAATAAGTAATTTCCAGTCTGAGATAGCATCATCTGGTGATTCTGGTCATTCTTTCACTCACTTGTCTTACACCTATCAAGTGCCAAATACTAGTCTAGTCATCGGGTGGCATGGATGTCTTGTCATTAATCTTGATTTCCAACTTGATAAGCATTGCCATCGGCATGAAAGAAATGTCTGTGAGGGCCTCTTAGCTTGAGTTAACTGAAGGTGGAAGAGTTACCTCAGATGTGGCTATCATGGGCTGGAACCTGGGCTGAGTAAAATGGAGAAAGGCAGCTGAGTGTGAGCATGTGTCCGGCTGTTCTGTTCCTGCCTCTGAATCTTCCCTGCCTGACAGGCTGTGTGCCCTGGAACTGTAAGCCAAAATAAGTTCTCCAAAAGCCCTCCCTCCCTCCCCCCCTCCCTCCCATCAAGCAACAATATCAGTAACTAACCCATGCCCTGGTTACCGTAAGGGCCTGAGAGCCACCATGGGAGCTGCTGGAGCCAGCTGTGGAAGTCTATTTATACATCTAGGGCCTGCGGAAAAATTCTGCAGGCATGTGCACCTCCTGTGCTGCCTCCCAGAAGAAAAGTATGCACTCCGACTTCATCTATCATCCCAGCCCATCTTGAGAGACAAAACCAAAGATGTTGGTTTCTATAAGCTAGGAATAGTTTAAGACTGTAGGAATCACCACTGATTTATAACCGGTGCTTAGGGTTTCTGAGAAGCCGGCATATTCTTTCCCCAGTAGATGGTCACTTTGATAAATGGCTGCACATTTTCCTGGGGATAGTGCAGAGAAAATGTATGGAGAGTTCCTGTTGCAGTGCTTCAGGATGCCTTATCCAGGGACTCCAGCTTCCCTATTAGCCAGGGGGCTTTGGCTGGGCTGAGTTGACTCAGTTCTGAAAACCATAAGAGGCAGACAACCTTCACTGGGGCGGTGGCAACTCAGGCCAGAACTTTGCCGACAAAACCTGGAGCTTCTTTTCTGCTACTACAACAAACAAAAATATTCAGTAGTGCACTCCTTTCTGGGAAGGCCTGACTAGTCACTCCACTAAAGCTTGCTGCAGCCAAGGAGCTCCATCAGCACACGCTTGCCTTTCTGTGTGGCAAATGCTGTAGCTGGTCACTGGGAATCTAGTTTTATCACTCTACCTGTGCTGTTAGATTTCTCTGAGCTCTTGTATACTTCAGGGTCACATGGCCAGCTAAGGAGAGCAGCTTCATGGTTTGCGTGGGTCCTGGGCCCCTGTTGCACTGGCCAGTGCTGTCCCGGAAGGAATACCTTCTGGAAGTTTTTATTCAACCTCAGCTGGGGAGGGCGTGCAGCCCACATGTCCACAGACAAGAAATCCAAATCACCCCACCAGTCCCACTTCCCAGCACCTCGGAGAATTCTCTCTTCTGTAAGCTCTGCCTCACGCCCCTCAAACAGAAACTCTCAGTCAGTCAGGCGATCATCTGCACCAACATCTGTATGAACCAGCCCATCAAATGCAGAATCGTGAGTGTGCATACTCATACCTGTGGACTTAGCTGGATCCAGTGCCATATTTATCTTTCCCTGCATAACATCCACAGAATATACTATTGGTGAAATTATTAAGGCCACTCCACGTAGTTAAAAGGGAGGTTTATTTGTGGGGTAACTCACAAATGAAGGGATAGGTTACAGGGTCTGGGAAAGGTGCAGTCGGGCGGTGTTCTCTGGAGAACTCTGCTCGGTCTACTACCTCAAGCGTCCAGGGTCCAGGAACCAAGAGAGCCCCTGCATCTGGATCTCAGGTCTTCAGGGTCCTCTCTTGGCCCTGCCTTGTAGGCGTGACATTTATCGAAGCCTCAGTGGGGGTTGGAACTTCCAGGTCAAAGATGGAATGGCTACCCACTACAATATGCTTCCCACACAATTTGAGGTGCCATTGTTTTGTACTACAATCTTGTGAGTTTGGGGCATGTAAATCACTTCTTCTTGAGCCTTAGTGTGGATCAATGGACTGTAAGGAGAGCTGATGTTATGGATTTGACCTTCATCCCTGTAGGTCTTGTGAGGAATGTGCATACCTTTTTAAGATCTCTGCCCCCAGTGAGCTTCTCATCCAGTTTTCAAGCAAGGGAAGGTTTGTGTCTCAGGACAGAGCAACAAGTTGTGCCCACTGACATTAAAAACTGAAAGTAGCTGGGTTTAAGATTCCTGGCTTCATCAGGGCTCACCAAGATGTCTTCATTTCATATTTTGGGGTCCAATTCAGGACCTTTAAGGTTAAGGCATTGTATTCAATAAGATGTCAAATGTGGGAGTAGACACTTCCACCCTGGGCCCAGTGAGATTTGCTGAGGTGCTGTGCGGGACAAACTTAAAGCCTGGCCTTGGAGACAGGGCGGACCACCCACCCTGAGGTCCCTGCTAAAGTCTTCTGGGAGTCAGCACTCCAGGGTGGTGTTCTGGAAAACACCCTCTATGGGATCAAGAAGGCCACTGGGGGTTGTTGGTAGAAATATCTAAAATGCCACCTATCGATGGCATTACTGAATGTGACTGGGAGTATACACCATCCACCTGGGGTCCCAGCATGTACAGACTACTGTCTGCTGCTGAAGCTAAGCAAGAACAGAGGATCCTGGGCACAGTAGGACAAGCTCCATCCCCCTCCAGGGTCTCTCAGCAGCTCTTACTTATAGAACCTAGTATCTGGCCAGCCAGCCAGGGAGAAATGTCCTGCTGACTAGCAGACAATCGTGACGGACTGACAGGCACTGGCCTCTACCTTCCGGGGGGGTCAAGGCAGGCAAAGGCCCTCCCCTTTGGTACTGTGCTGCCTCTGGGGTCTCCTTGCCTCCCTCATATCATTCAGCCCCTACTTTGGACATCTTGTGCTTGGAGATGAGTGCCTGTTTTTTTTTTTTCTTTCTTTTTCTTTCTTTTTTTTTTTTTTTTAAGATTTATTTATTTATTATGTATACAGCATGTATGACTGCAGGCCAGAAGAGGGCACCAGATCTGACTACAGATAGTTGTGAGCCACCATATGGTTGCTGGGAATTGAACTCAGGACCTCTGGAAGAGCAGTCAGTGCTCTTAACCTCTGAGCCATCTCTCCAGCCCCGAGTGCCTGTTTTATCTGTCACCTTTGCCTCAAATCTAATGTTCCTTTCAGTGACACTGTCAACTGCCATTCTGGACCCAAGATTCTAAAATTGATCATTTTTCTCACTGTTTTCTGATGTCAGCTTGTGTCTTAGGTAATCACAAAGAACTCTTTAACTGATTAAATGGAAGAGTGTGGAGGAATACAAGGAAACATCTGGGAGAGAACTTGGTTAATGAATAGGAGTGTCACCTTCCAGATCAGACAGTAAACATAGGGTACTAAAGTGCATGTCCATTCATGCACTAGCATGAGCATTTGGGAAAATACTCTTTAGTGTTACAGGAAGCTCTGTACATAGCTCTTTAGTTCCTCTAACTGTTAATCATTAAGTTGAGAGAAATATCCTTTGAAATTTAGTATAATTTCTGTATCTAAATTCCTATATGGTAAATAAACTCTTTAATGGATGTGTAGCCCTTCTTTGTTGGATTTCCATGCATTTTAAAGCAAGGATAGAACTCTTATGAATACATCATTATCCCTTTAAACTGCTTGTGTGCTGGTTGATTTTGTCCTCTTCGGCCGGTGGCAGGCATCCATTCCAAGCTGCCAGTCCAGGCATAGCAACTGTGGTTCTTCCAGATGAGCTCTTAGAATACTTTCAACTTCATGTTATCGACACAGCGAGGAAAGATTCTCCTCTGGAACTTTAACTTAGAGTGCTCAGCACAGTCAGTGCCATTCACAGGGAGGAGAGGCACACAGCTGAGACATTACGTTGGTGAATTTGCTGCACAAGACCAGGCTGTGCAAAGGAAGTTTGTAAGACTAGCCTGAGAAATGGGTCAACCTGCTGCCTTCTGTCCTCCCGAGGACCTGAGTGGGGACTGACGGAAAACCTAGCTTCTGGTTGGTGGGGACCGTTCCCATCCAGTTTCCATGGAGACATATCTGCCAATCTCATTTAATGGCAACAGTTCTACAAGTCAGGAGGTTAACGTCCTTCTTCTTACCTCAGTTGCACATCTGTTTTCATCAATCTGGGTTAGAAGTCTTGAGAGCAGCATGCTAAGAAGGCGAGCGGCTTGTCTCAGATGCTGGGGACCAGCGTGTCTGTGAGCAGATGGTGACTGATGCTCGGATATTTCTTTTAGTTACTGCATAGGTAAGGCCTGCATAGTTGAAGGAATGAGGACTGGCTTCAGTTCTTTACTAGGCTTTAATCATATAACAACTTGAAAAATTACAACGTGTCTGCCTCCAACAGAAGAGATAAGAAGTTAATGCCCACAGTATTGCCCATCCTGGGGGTGTCAGCAGCAGCGGATATTGTCCCCGGGCTCTCAGTGAGCCATACTGTGTCGTGCAGCAGCAGTAAAGTACAGAACAGTCTGTTCAGTCCCTGAGTCCCCTGGGTGCTCATGGCTAGGGTGACAAAGAGTCAACAGAATATGATAGTCACAGCATGGCTGGATTTCTCATATCAACTCTGTTTTTAGGGACTCTAAATTCCAAGAGAAGTGTTCGATTTTATTTCTTTAAATGGTAATCTTACAACATTTGATTTTAACATTTAGGGAAAGAGTCTTAAGCTGTAAAATGTCAAAGTAGATTAAAGTACTATTTTGGTCTACTGGTTATCCAGTGGAGCCCTACACATTGCTGGGGCCTTTGCTAATGGGTACAGAATCCAGGTTTTTGGAAAGACTCCATCTAGATGCAAGTTTAAGAAAACATACAGACTGATCCCCCCCTTTTATTACTTTATATGGCACAGTAAAACCTTTTAGATATGTGTATTGAAGAAAATATTATCTTTTTCTAGAGTCGTTTTCCTCATCAGGAATGTGGGCTCTTATGGGCTGTGTATGCCTTGGGTGTAATAAAGGACATGAGAATGTTTATAAGCTGTGAGGTGCTGTATGGCAGAGGGGTGCTAGTGGTATTCACTCAGGGGAAGGCTGATGCAGAAGGCCTACAGCTCAGAAGCAAGGTGTGTGACACATTCTTTCCTCACCGAGAAAAAGAACCTGCTGTGTAAGTTTACTGTGGGGGAAACACAAGAATGCGAGCATAAAGGAGTGATCACAGATCACCATGCCCAGCACTGTGGGTTTTGATTCTGTTTGTATAAAGACTATGTCATTATACTCACTTCATTTACAGTTGAAGTATAATCATCATTCTGTGTAAAGTTTTAAGTTCTCATGGAAAGCCTTATGGGTGGGACACTGCTAATGATACTGATCCCAGTGAGACACAGTAGCTTACACTGTCTGTGTGCGGATCTTAAGTCGGCTGGATGTCAGTGTACACAAAGGAGCTGCTACACACTGAATTCAGGGGCAACGAATGGACCTCCAAGTTAACTAGAAGCTTATCAAGTTAAGTAAATAAATAGCAAGACTTTCCAGGATCTCTGAACTAGTCTGGCAGTTAATCTGATACCTTCCAGCCTTAGGATGAACCCACTTGAAGAGGCCTGCTGGTAATCCTCACCTTCAAAATGTCATTGTAGCAAGCTGCACATGTAGCCTTCTTTTGCAGGGACTTGAAGCAATCAAACTGGAAGGTTGCTGGTTGGACCTAGCTCACCACTGCCCTCTGCTGTTTGGTTTAGGGAGGTGGCACCTTCAGCTATGAAGCAATAGAGAATTACCAAGTCCTGTCTCTCCAGGATGAGCCTTCACCCTCTCTGGCTCTATCCCGCCCCTTTGCTAGGAGACTAATGCTAAAAACTCTCTCCTTCACCTTACATGTTTCCCCTTTAGTCCATGTGAAGGGCAATAATGACTGGCGTTTGAGGATTTTGCATTACCCTACCCTCCTGGTGGCACACATCAGTTTTATTGGCCCCAAATAGTCACATGGTATCAAGCCAGGCAGTGAAGCAGGGCTGGGATGCGATCACTGCAGTGTTTCTGCCTCTTTGGGTCAGCGTTTGCTTCAAGTTTATAATTTTTTGTTTCTTATTAATTGTGAATATTCAGTTCACCTCCCTACAGAGCCGTTTCTCCTCAGCTCTTCTTTTGATATCTAGCCATAGTAAAATGTTCACCAGCACTTGATAATTCTGATCCTGCTTCTTTTGTGTTACTCTTCTCCCAGACTTCACCTCACCCCTGGGCCATGGGAACTCTGATTCTCTGATTCCTCGTGTAAAGCCTGCCTGGAAAGCCCTGCAGTTCAGTGATTGCTTTAAATCCCCTTCTCTTCTAAGATTCTGCAGTGACTGCCTGTGTATTTATGAAATCCACATCATCTACTAGTCAGGCCGTAGTGCATGTTAACCCACCTGTCTTCCTTCCCAGTAATACTGTTGCCTAGGATTTGGTTTCTCTCCAGCTGAAGGACTCAGGCAAGTTTTTATGGTTTTTGATTCAAAGTATCAGCTCCTTCTCAGGGCTGTAGCTGGGGTGCTTGGCATGGTTCTGGCATGCCATAGACACCTAAACATGAACAGAACAGATCTTCCTTGTCAAGGCTGTTCTTCACAAAATGAAACATATGTGGGCACAGATGTTACATGAAAGAGTTGTGTCAGTAACTGTAACCATGACAAGATAAATGGAAGCCGAGCCAGCCTTCTTTACAGAGGATAAAAACTGTAGCACATCATTTGCTAGTTCAGAGTCTTCCTCAGTCTTGTTGACTGTGTATTGTGCTGCGTCAGTACTTCCTGCGAGGGTGGAGCGTGGTGAGGGTGGTTGTAATGACTGTCTTGTGTTGAGTGTGTATTGTTGTGCTGTGTTGGTACTTCCTGTTGTGTCAGTACTTCCTGTTGTGTCAGTACTTCCTGTGGGGGTGGAGCGTGGTGAGGGTGGCTGTAATGACCATCTTCTTGCTTCTGCAGCTCCCTCCAGCTCTGCATCATGATCTGAAGAGAAGAGTTATAGAAAGATTCAAGAAATCCCTGTTCAGCCAGCAGAGCAACCCTTGTAACCTGAAATCTGAAATTAAGAAGGTATGTGTTCTACTCACAGGGATCTGTCCACGGGAGAGCCCTGAGGGTTACAGTTCCCTTCTCCCGACTCCTTGAATTCTGTGCACTGTTAAAGGGTGTTGCTTAAAATACCGGATGGGTCCATTCGATTTCTCTTTGAATTCTCATCCTTTGATTTCTCATCCTTATTTCTGTGGCTATTATTTTCAGGTGACTAATACAGCTTGTTCCTAATTCCTACATGTTTTCCTAAAAATAAATGTTGTCTTTAATTTAAAAGTATGTATATTGTAGCCTGCTTTTGAAGAGTCTGCTACAGTATTTTGTGACAAGGCTCTTCAATGAGCCCCTAAATTGTGCGTTGCCTATCTGAAATGGTCACCTGACCACGCAAGGCCACAATTTTAATTATCTGTGGGTGCATAATGAACTTGTCCAGGTCCTACCATCTTCATTGTCTGCCACCTTCTCATCTTTGGGTACAGCAACAGTTTCTGTTCACACATACCGAAGCTAAGTTTTTACACAAAATGGGAAGAAAGTTGCTACCTCTGGCAACACAAGTTGGAGACAGGAAATCCACTTTGTCCAGGAAGAGATAAAAGCCTTCTGTCCTGTCCGGGAAGACCCGGGCATAGGAAAGTCTGGCTACCTTGGTGGAGATAATTTGGTCCATGACCCCACTTTCTTCTCCTCCTCCTCTTCCCCTTCTTCTTAAGTGTCCTTATATGTTTAAACCTTGGTTGTGGCCCATGACCTCTTTCACTGTGGTTTCTTTTTTCTTTAGTCAGTCTACTTTGAGGCACAAACTTTCTTCCAGGCTCTTGAAATGCACACACACACACACACACATACACACACACACACACACACACACACACACACACACACACACACATTTTTAAAAAGGCAGTGGCCTGTTTCTGCTTTGTTGGCTATAGTGGTGCCAGAACCAGAAGTGGCTGCAGGCAGGTCAACAAAGCGTGAGCCCATCCCTCAGAGACAGGAGAGCAAGGCGCCCTCCGTGTGTGTCCTGCTGGCCAACAGCGGAGACAGAGAAGACGGGCAGCAGTGAGGGAACCTCACATTTACCTACAGCATCCTAAATACTAAGAACTAGAGTTTAAATGCCAGAGGCTCGTCTCCTACAAAAGATTGCACGATGCTTGGTTTTATATTCTTATAAAAGTGATACTGAGAATAACCCAATTTGCATACAAATTCATTGTAGCAGAAAGTCTGGTTTTAAGGGATGAAAGCTTCCGCCTCAGAAGGATGTTCAGAGGTGCATTTACCTCCCACCCAGTGGTTTTGAGCTTGTACCTGGCCTGAAGGCAAGTCCTTGTTGTCTTTCTCATGAGAGGCTCCCTGTTTCTTCCCTGACAGCAAAGACATTTTCTTTTGTTAAATCACCCTCCTGCCATCCTTGGTTCCCTCTCTGTGGCCTGAGAGCATCTCTGGTCACTATCCTGGCCTGAACCTAAAGGTGGGATTGTTGAGGGTAGTGTAGGAGTTTGGGGGTCTCCAGTGAGAGTGCTACTGAGCCAGGCTGACAGCCTCCACCCTCAACAAGCCAAAAAGGAGCCAAATTAAGAGTGAAGGGCAGGTAAAGGAGACTTACTCAATGTGGCCCTGTAGAGAAGAGGGACAAAGGGACCCAGGGACTCTCTGAGGGCCCAAGTGGCCTTCAGCCACCTATGGGGAAGGCAAGAGATGTGCATCAGTGCCCAGCTGGAAGCTTTCTTTCAGGGTGTTCTGAGAAATCTGAACCAAGGGCTCTCTCTCCAGGAGACAAACTCCCCTCTGGCACCAAATTTCAGCCTTCCCTTCTCCCAGCATGAGATTCCGGAGCAGGCTCTCAGTTCTTTGTTTCCTGATCTGATAGACAAAGGTAGGACTTTGCATCTTTACAGTACCCTCAGGCTTGCCAAGCTGGTTTCTAGGGCCTGGGGCAGAGTTGTCTTTATTTTCAGCAGGTTTAGGAGGCAGAGCAGATTGTCTAGTGACTGGTGCCACTGGCTCTGTTCTGATAACTGGTGTCAGCTTGTAACACACTCAATGGAGCCCTGTGCCTCAGGGAAGAGGACACTCAGCAGTTAGGGTTCCGCTGTAGTCAACAGAGGTGAGGTCCTGCTCTTCCAGGGGAAGCCTGGCCACAAAGTGGAGTGAGTGAGCAGGTCCGCTGATAGGCCTCAGTCAGCTCCTCCACAGAGGCCCTGCTGAGGCTTCCCTGTGCATAGCCAGCATCCCCCTCTTCCATGACCAGCTCACCTCTTCACTCCCATGTTTAAGCAGCTTTCATCTGCTGTGTGTCTCACGAGTGCAGCCAGTCTCTTATTTTTGATTTCCCAACATCTTGCACATCCTAGACTGGGGTCAGTGCTTCATATATAATTAGTGAAATGAGCATATACTATGTACTCATGTATTTCATAAGAAAGTCTTCATTTCTTCATTCTTTATTAAACTGTGTGTTGGTATGATCTACTCATGCACTTTTATGTATGTGCAAAGATCTACACCAGAGAAGTTCATGACTCCCATGTACCCCACCCCCCTTTCTGGTAGTCTTTTTCTTGCAATGGCATTTGTTCAGAAATGGGCATTTCATCCCCTGTGCAGTCAACAGAAGTCAATTAGACTCTGACTGTCAGACACCCTCACATCTACCCACCCTCAGGTACTTGGCTTTTACCTTCTCCTTCCTTCCAAGACCCAGGGAGCCTATGCCTACAGTGTGAAAGAATCATTATGGGATGACTGCAGCCACATATCAATGGCACTTACCACTTATCAATGGCCAGTGTGGTATGTGCAGAAGTCAAAAGGTGGAAAAGCCCATTTCTGAGAACTGAATTCTTTCTATCCAACTCACCTAAGCAGCTCTTTGATCCGGGCTTTTCCATCTTGGCTGGAATAGTTCAGGGGCACCAAAGCCAAGCGAGTGATAGCACAGTGGCCATGGAACTGGGATATTTAACACAGGAAAAGAGAGAAGCAAGATAGAAAAGATGAGTTCATGTCAATATTTACACAGCACTGTCAGTGAGCGTAAATTTGTGACAAGTCTTCTCTTTTAAAAACATATTCACTAAAATACTCTAGAAACTAATTCATAATTAAGCACAATTCAGTTCATCTCCACATGTTTCTGAGGAGACACAGTTGATTGGCACAGAGCAGGGATCTATCTCACAAGCTTGGAATGTGCTCTTTTGAGGTATAGCACACGACACTGCCAGGGACTCCTGACGATGTGTCCAAAGGACTGGGAGTCTGTGCCTAAGAATGCAGCCACAGTGTGACAGCAGCATTAAGTTCAGGAGTTAATAATGGTACTAAAGGAAAAAAGACCACTCATTGGTTACTCTTGGGGCATGCAAAGTTTTAACACGTGTTTTTGAAGGGTATCAATCCTTTTCCTTTCTATTTTAAATTCTGTCTCAGGGTAAACGAATTGCTGATGAAGGGATGTTTCATGTTATAGATGAACTTCAGGTGGCACTGGGGGTTTATAGTCCCAGGGCAAGAAGGGAAGGAGATGCCACCGAGAGGGGGCACCTGACAGCACATGCCACCTGATGCGGGACACAGTCCTTCCTGCCAAAAGCTTGCAGCTGCATCTCATCAAGCTTCTAAATGTGAAAGTCAGCAAACTCTAACCCTCAAGCCAATTTGGCCTGCTGCCTACTTGTATAAATAAAGCTTTATTTACATAACCATATGCATTCATTTCACCTGGCCTGTGGCTACTTTATCATTACAGGCAAAGCTGTAAAGTCAGAAACCCTACTTCCTCCAGGCTGGAAATGTTTACTGCACATCTCCATAGAGCAGTTTGCCAGTCCCTGCTCTGGATCTTGCAGCAAACACAGATAAGGACACATAATAAACAACACAGTTACCAGGGCCTGAGGTCTTGTAACCTACCACTGTTACCAAAACAAATCAGGAGAAAGATTGATGGAGGAGATAGTTTTATAAGAATCCATGCTTGAGAAAAAAAATGGGATAGAGACTACATGCCCATTTTTCTCCCCCCACCCCCTCTTTCTTTCTCTCTCCCTCACTCCCTCCCCCTCCCTTCCTTCCTTCTTTTTATTTTTCTCTCATACATTCCATCCGGACCAATTGCAGTCTCCTCTCCCTCCACACTTCTGAGTCCCCACCATTTCCCCTCTTCCCCAGAGCCTCTGGTTCCCAGGAATATCAACCGAACAGGGCATAATAAATTACAATGAGACTGGGCACAAACCTTCATATCAAGGCTAGACAAGGCAACCCAGTAGGAGGAAAAGGGTCCCAAGAACAGGCAAAGAGTCAGAGAAAACTCCCACTCCCACTGTGAGGAGTCTCACAAGAACACCAAACTACACAACTGTAACATATATGCAGAGACCCTAACTCAGACCTATACAGGGTCTGTGATTGCCACTTCAGTCCCCATGAGCCCCTATAAGCCCTGATTAGTTGATTCTGTGGGCCATTGTGTCCTTGACCCTTCTGCCTCCCTGGGAAGGGGAAATAGAATAGATTTCCAATTTTTCAAAGGGATGAGGCTCAGGGGTGGTAAGGGGCAGTAGGTGGAACATTTCCATGCTTACAGCTCTTTGTTCTCCCGTGGATGTGCCTTTAAGGGCTGAGGCTTGGTCTCGCTTTTCTTAGAAAAGTGTATGTGTTTTTTTTCAGAGCTGATCATTTGATACCGGATAGCCAATCATGTTCTCTTCCCCGGATAAGACTATTTCCCCCGCCTCCCAGCATTCCTCAGCTGCCTGTAGTTCTTTGTCCAGGGCTAAGGCCTCCTGAGCTTTTCCCTTTTCATGTTAGCATTTCTGTTGGTGCCATCCTTGTTCAGCTCATGTCCAGTCAGCCCTGATGATTAGACTTCATGACATTGTTGTTGCAAGACCCCCACAGAGCCAATATCCATTGCAAGCACACAGAGGTTTTTAATAGCAAAGCAAGCCTGGGGCTTGGTCTGTATTCCCTAGCACCCACTTTAAGGGGTTTATATTGGA